CACTTCTTTCGTTCTTTTCCTTTCGTTTCGTTGTTGGCGATGACTACTATATATATATATATATATATATACACGCGCAATTTGCCGAACGTGAACATGTCTAAAGTGTGACGAATATGTACATACACACGAGGCCATAAGTGTCTTAACGTATAAAGTTGCATATGTCGGCGCATATCCGGAATGCGTGCCTGCCATGTAAACGACAGCGCATTGTTAATTATTCGAGCAACATTTTTATTATTATTGTATGTATTATTGATTATTATAATGTTATTCGTCACTGAAATATCAGGCTACAAAATATCACTTCTAATTGCTTTAACACAACATTCTTGAATAATCAACAGTCATGAGCGAATAATTAAACAGGAAGCCGATATGTGTACGAATTTGTATTTTATGGCATTGACGATTACGTGTACATTGCTTGAAGCCTGAGGCGTTCAAGGAATTCACTCCATTGACTGTCTGAGGTAAAGAAATCGGAGAAGATTTATCTCTACAAAGGAAGCCGAGAAATTCTTGTTCCGAATTCCGTCTATTTTTGCCGTATATTTTTACTTATTTTGTAGATTAACTTTAATCCCGATTTAATTTATTCTTTTTAACTCTTCAAATAAAAAGATAATAAAAAATGAGTTAAAATTAATTTATATTAATGGAAATAAACATTAAATTACGAGCTATTCATATACCATTTATACTTGAACTTTGTAGTTCATTTTTGATTTATCACCATACCCAAATGTGCATCGTGACGTGTCTAGGACGATGTACTTTCCTGACGATATCGAAATAAGGAGAAAGAAAGATAGGAACGTAAATGTAACGCGAGTGTAATGCGATCCATCGATCAGTCTCTCTTTTTTCAGTTCTCGAGTCGTCCTGGTTACCGCGTTAATGCCTAGATTTGAGCCGGCTAGCTTTGTGAGCACGTAGCCGTCGTAGACAACGGGCGTCCTTATCGAGATCGCCTGATTTATATTAACCGTCGGAGCCGCCTTAAGCGGCGGCTTATTAAAAAGGATCTGTAATGCACGCGCGTACTGTCGCAATCACGGTACATCCTCGCCCTCCCCATACCCCTTCCCGCCCCCTCCTCAGCCATCGTCGCTCCCGCCCGCACCGCGGTACCGGTCTTTCGCCGCAAAACCGATAAATTATGCATTCCATTATTCATGCTCGCTCGCCGTAATCATGTACGGCGGTTGACAAGATCCTGTCATGCTTTACAGGCCTCCTGGCTCCGCGTTTGTTTGCTACTTCGAGAGGTAAGGAGGACCGTTTACGGCAGTGAGACTGCAAGCTATTCAATTTACCGACATGGGCCGAGCTTTAAGGATATGGGAGTCCGAAGGATGCGCGGAAGGAGGAGAGAGAGAGAG